TCCACCCTGCCCTGAGCTTGAACCCAGGGGTGTGGGAAGTGGGGTCAGAGAGGAAGTGTGATGTGAGGGGAGGAAGAGATGCAGCTGGAGAGGCATGTGAGAAGGGGTTTTCTGAGAGGAGAGAGTGGGCTGAAGGGAAGGAGCCACAGATGTGGTGTACTGATGAAGAGGGGCTAGAGGAGCTGTCTGGCTCTGGGGGCCTGAGGAGAGAAGGGAGCAGAGAGGCTTTATTAGGTGGCAGGAAGTTGTAGACAATTCCTTTGAAAGGGCCCTCTTTTTTTGGGGGGGTGTACCAGGGATTGAACTCAGGGGCACTTGAAAACTGACCTACATCCCTATCCCTATTTTGTATTTTATTTAGAGGCAGGATCTCACTGAGTTGCCTAGGGCCTTGCTAAATTGCTGAGGATGGCTTTGAACTCCTGATCCTCCTGCCTCAGCCTCCCAAGCTGCTGGGATTATAGGCTTGCGCTACTGCACCCAGCTTGAAAGGGCCTTCTTTACAGTGAAAAAGTTGAGGGTGTAAGGCTGACAAGATAGGACCCAGACTTAGAAGAGAGAGGAGGGAGTGAGGGGCAGTCTGATGGGCCAGGCATGAGGAGTACAAATTGACCGGCTGTATTCATCAGAATCCTGGGTTTTGGGGTAGAGGTCTAGACTCGCAAGGAATGGGAGGGAGGCCAGGATGCTGGACCAGGTGGGGTGGGGGATACTAGATCAGAGACCCAGTATAGAGAGAGTGTGTGGGCAGGTTGGAAGGCTGGGAGACTCTTAGGAAAGCCAGTGGGGCTAGTGTGGGCTCTGAGAGGTGGTGCAACATCTAGAGAAGACTTCAGACAGGGCAGGAAGGAAGGTCTGCAACGCAGCCCCACCTACTCGCCCTGTTTACCCCCTCGGTTAGGATTGCTCACAGCCTCAATCTCATACACCACCAGGTAGAAGCAGCCCCAGGGGTGGCTTAAGGGCCTTCTCTCCCTACATTTCTTCTCTATCTTCTCCCAGTCCCTAATAAATATGTGCTGTAAGTACAAACCACAGCTTACTGTATAAGTAGCCTCCAGCCGAGTCCCCTACATGCCCAAGTGAGGTTTCTTCCCCTAAGTCCTCTCTGTGTAGACCTTCTTGAGCCACCCCTGGAAATCCATGCCCCCAAAATATTTACTGAGCACCTACTATGTGCCAGGCACTGGAGATGCAGCCGTGAACAAATGTGAAAAACCTGGTGGAGCTTCCATTCTGGTAGAGGGAGAGAGCCAGTAAGCGAGCAAGTAGAATAGTGTTACAAGAGGGTGAACACTAGATAGAGAGAAGAACAGAGCAGGGAAGGGGAGCAGGAATCCACAGGTACATGTGTGGGGCAGGAAGTTGCAATGTCAGCTAGGTGCTGGGGAAAGCCTTGCGGAGAAAGGTGTCATTGGAATGAGGAACTGTAAAGGAGGTCTCTGCTCTTCACATTCCACATGCCACCACACTTCCAGGGTAGGAGCTGCCTGTCTCAGGGCTTGGTGTGATGAGGCATTTCTCCGAGGGAGCTCTCTCCTGATGGAATGCAGCAGCCTGGGAGAGGAGTGAGCTCCCTGTCATGGGAAATATACAAGAAGGAGGCAGACAAGCCCTGTCAGGGAGGTTTCCCAGGGGTTCCTCCTCTTGGGTAGGAGGTAAAAGAACTCTGAGTCAGATGATCTTAAGGCTTCTCCAGTTCTGAGAGTCCAGAACTCAGAACCCCCCCTTGTCATTGACCCCTGGACTCAGGGGCCAGTGGTATGTCTTATCTCCACCAGGTGGGCTCAGGCCTTGGAGGTGCTTGGGAGCCATCAGAGCAGCAGCCAAGATAGGGAGCTGCCTTTGGGGAGGAGGCTGGGCTCCCTGAGGCTCCTTGCATGCTGACTGGAGTTGTGCACAGAATGTCTGCTTTGGGGCCTCAGTGTCTGTGAAATGGGCGGAATCATAACCCATAACTACTAGGCAGTGTTGGCGGTCTGCCCTTCTTGAGGTCAGGCCTGGGGGGCCCAGGCAGGCTCAGAGATGCTATTCCTGCAGGCCTTTCCTTTACTCCTCCCGACAAATTTTCTCCGTCATCAGTCAAAACAAATATATATTTTTTAATTTATTGAACAAGGCAGCACCAAGGACAGAGCCCTGTTCTCATCTTTACTGACCGGATTCACTCATGCCATGTTTCCCTGTGCTTCTTGGTAGCTGGACTCCTTGATGGTCTTTGGGGCCCTAAAGGCAAAGCAGATCTTGTCCCCAGTTCCTGACCAAGTTATAGAAGGAGGGAGTCTGTCTGATATTGACCCTTGGTCTGGCTTCTCTGCCCTGACTCCTGTTTCTTTTCCTGTCCCAAGCTCCTCTGTTCCTGAGGGGCAGGTGTCATGGTGCGTCTACTGTGTGATTTGGCATGTTCCTAATCTCTCTGGTTTCAGTTTTCCTGTAGGGAAAAGTCACCTCTTTCCTGAAAACAGATTTTATCATTGTTCAGATCTGTATTGTCTTCCATGCTCGCCAGCGACTCGCCATGCCACCTTGGGCGAGTCACCAGCCTTCTCTGAGCCTGTCTCCTCATCTGAGAAATGGGAGCAAAACCAACCACCACCCAGGCACTTATAAAAGAGCAAGTGAGACCCTGGAGCAAATGCACCCAGCGCAGTACCTGGCACCTACTGAGTAGCCAAGAAGCTAGCAGCAAGTAGCTTAGAAAAATGAGACTCAGGAAGGTGAAGTGACCTTCCCAGGTTGTACAGCAAGTGGGTGATAAATCTAGGATGGTGCCCAGGCTCCTGGCTTCCCATTTTCCCTCCCAGGAGCCACTGAGAATGACACAGCTCTTACTCATGGGAAATGAGCTGGGGGTGGGGGAGCTTCCCTGGCTGCCCCTGTGATAATCAGTCTCAATCTGGCAGACCCTCTGTCCACTCCTGCCCTCTTCTGGTGGCCTTCAGATACGTGGTAGGTTCTCACCTCCCATGCAGGAACACTGGTGTTTGGGGACCAAAACTGTGGGCAGGGGTCTGTGGAAAGAGGAGGGGGAGGCATGGGGCACAGTTCCACAGGCAGGACACCTGATTTCAAGTGACAGAATTCTAGGTCCAATGAACTGAGACAAAAAGTGAATTTATCAGACATACCACCAAAAAATTCTGTGGCAGTTAAAGTTTCAGGTGTAGTGGGAACCAGGTGCTCCATGATGTTCTCAGGAGCCCGTGTGTTCCCATCTCTTCACTCTGCCTCCCTGTGGCTTTATTTTTGGATGGTCTCCCTGGTGGTGAGTCTCCGGTGCCTAGGACAGTGCCTGGCACAGAGTCAACTGGCGATAGCAGATCTAGATTCACTTCCTGCCAGCTTTGCAAACCCAGTGGCAAACTTGTCTCCTTCCCAGTCTTCCAGCAAACGCCCCAGAACTGATTCCCAAGCACCCAGGGAAGGTGGCCTTTGCTGGGTTTCTGTTCTCGCAACTAAAAGGCTCAGGGGTCACTCCAGGTAAACTGGCTAAATGGGCTGCACAAAATAACCACACAAAAGACACAAGTAGCTTTTTCTTTGGGGTCACTGTGGCGGCTCCTCTGACCTTAAGGGTTCGCAGAAAGAGAGAGAGCGAGAGCACTCGCTGACCCCTTTTATTGAGGAGAAGCTATTCAAATGAGGCAAGGGGTCAGGTTTCAAGGGGCTGAGTCAATCTTCATGATGTCCACTGTCAGCAGGTTGACTGACACCTGGGTAGGCCACACCCAAGGACACAGCAAGAGAAGGGGACACACAAGGCATTTCCATGGAAGATTCTATCCTAAACAGGGCAAGGGGTTATATTACAAAGGATCAGGTGAGCATAGCTTCACCCATGGGGCTGTAGCAAGACACACCCATGCACGAGACACCAACCCTCGAACCCATGAAGGGTGGGGAAAGCTCTGCCACATTTCTGTGACTGAGCGCCTCAGCACCCAGCTGGGGAGTGTGACTCAGTCACGTGCAAGGTTGGTCTCCCACAGGCCTTCCCATCCCCAAGGTGGCCACAGGGCCTGAGGAGCCCACTTGCAGACCCACCTCTCCAAGATCCTCCAGACTCTGAGAAGGAGAGGATCCCCCAAAGGCAAAGCAGGGGCGGGGCTTCATCATGAAAGAGGGTCTGGTGGGGAGAATCTGCACAGGAACCCAGCAGTGAGTGACTGCAGGGCAGGCCACGTGCTGGACTGCAGCCATCTCTTCCCGGATGGAACCTGGTTATCTGGGAGGATGGGCAGGTTCTGAAGGCACTGGGGAGGCTGCAGCAGCCAACTTCTCACAGCCAAGCAGCCTCCCCTGACTCCAAGCGGCCCCCTCCACAGGGAGTGGGCAGAGCCCAGGGTACAAGCAAGGCCCACAGCCTGCCCGCCACACTGGATCCAGGACCAGGGTTTATAGGAAGGCCCTGAGGGGTGCTGTGGCCCCCAGGGGGCAGGAAATCAGGACCCAGAGCTCCTCCTGCGCTCCCCACCTGCCCTGCCTGGTTGCTTTCTGGCCTTCTGCTCTCTCCCAAGCTCCTCAGCCTCACCCTCCCTGCAACCTCTCAGCTCTGTGTCCACTAGGGCTGCCAGCATCCCCAACCTCCTTTAGCCAGAGAGAAACTCTTGCTAACTTTGCCACGCCTCAGTTTCCTCATGTGCCAAGCGGGGACAGTAATCATGAAGATTGGTGGGCCAGTCACCAGTGAGGGTTTTGCACAGAGCTTGGCACGTTGCCCATGCTCCATAAAGCCCTGTGTCTCAGGGCAGGTGGGGACCCTGGGAGCGCCAGCACCTGGCAACTAGGGGCTCAGAAGATGCAAGTTCCTTCTTTGTTCAGAAAGAAACCAACGGAAGTATTCCCAACCCCCAAGTCCCCAAAACTGCTGCTTCCCTTTCCTTGCTCTAAAAATGGAGGTTTCAGTTCCAATTTTAATTCCTGTGGAGCAGGAGAGAAGAAAGGGAAGTGGAAAAGGAGAAGAGAAAGCAAGTGCCCTCCCCTCCCTGTGCCCCGCTGCCAAGTTTGCCTGTCTCTGCAGTCAGTCTGATACCACATGTAGGACCAGAGCTCTCCAGCTGGGGATGCCATCCACTGTCATCTGGCTCCCAAGGAGGCATGGCCTCGGGTTGGCCTGAGGTGGGCTTTGCAGCACCTCTGCCCCAGGTCAGATGTTGTCCAGGGTCAAGACTGGGTTGATACCTGGAGCACAGAGGGCATCATGACCCAGCAAGGTAGGTGCCATAACTAGCCCTGTTTATTAGCCCAGAGTCAGAGAGGGTAGTGGCTGACCCCAGGTCATGCAGCAAGTTGTTGGTGGATCCCAGCCCATCTGACTCCTCAGGGGAAGGAAGCTGGGTCTTGACCCCTGTCATCCTGTGCCCTTGCTACTAATCTCATGCACCAGGGGCTCAGCAAGGGAGTTCCCGGGGCTTGGTTTCCCAGCAGGCAGGCCGGCCAAGGTCAGGAAGCTTCCCAGGCCCATCTGTGTCTGGCCGCTTTCTGCCTCAACTGGCTAGCGGGCGGTGACTCAGGCTTTGGGCTTCTGGTTGACTGGCCCCTCATCCATTCAGACACAAAGGCCTTAGAGGCGGGACAGGTGTGGGGTCATCAGAAGGGCATCCTGAGACCATTGAATCTAAGTAGCTGAAAGAGCTTTGGCCTTGCAGGTTCTTCCTTGGGTCCAAACTCAGCTGCTTCTGCTGCAGAATTGACCTCGTGGTTGTCACCTGAGCCAAGAAAAGGAAATCAGCAGAGGTTGTCCTCCTGTGGGGTGAAGGGCTTCAGTGTTTCTGCGAGGATGTGCCTAGAGTGGAGACAGCAGCACTCTTGGGGCCTGTACCTCAAAAAGGCAGGATTTGGCACCAGCCCTGTCACCACTACCAATGTCCCCAAGGCTCCTATGAGCCATATTAATCAGAGTGAAGGTCTGAGAACTTGAACTTGTATGGAAGGATAAGTAGTAGAAAGGACAGAGAAGTGGGTCAGAGGAACTGAGGCTAGGCACCCAGTCCTAAGGTGGCTCAGTGCCAGTCCCAGAGGGGCAGTTCCTGCTGTGTGCTGACCATCCCGGACTGTCCACTGGCGCCATCTCATGGCCGCAGGCCCTCACTGCAAGAAGACACCTGCCCCAGTGGTAGGAACCAAAATATTCAGATGTTCCACCCAAGTCCTGCCCTGGGACTGACACCCCCTAGGAATCCCTCAGAGCTGTACAGATAGTGACCTGCCCTGGTGGGGGTATCCATGGGAGGTCATCCTGGGGGATCTGCTACTGGGTGGTAAGTAGCCCAAGCTACCTGTTCTCCTGGTCCCCAGCACCGTCCAAATCATACAGGGAAGTCCATGGTTGGACAGCGACCTCCTGAATAAGCAGTAAGTGCTCAATTTGTGCATGACCAGGTGTTTGCCAGCAGTTCAAACCTGAACTTTCTCAGTTTGGTCCAAACTTTAAGCTCCAACTCAGTTCCTCAACTTGCTTGCCTGTAAAATAGGTTTGGGGTGAGCTCAGGGCCCCAATTGCTCTTTGGTTTTAGAGGTGTCCTCAGTGTCTTACAGACTGAAGTGAGTCCTCACTCCCTTTGAACGATCATCCTCCCAATATTCTGGTGGCCACTGTGACCACAGTCTACTGAGACAGCTCAGGGAAGGGGTGGGCTTGTCCCAAGGAAGATTGTGAATAGGGACAAAGTGGGGAAAGAGCCCAGGCCTCCGATCCCAGCATAGCACTCCCTCCCTGCCCCCTACCTAGTTGCCATATATGCTACAAACCAAAGCCAACTTCCTCCAGGTCACCCTCCTTAAATGCTGCCTCAGCGCCTGGATCTGGCTTTCTGGGGACAGTGAGGAGCCACCTCTCTTTCTCTGGTTGTCCTAACAGCTCCAAGGCCTGGTTTGGTGGTAAGGAGGGGCTGGGAGGGCTTGGCCCAGGCTGGAAGAATCCTGCTTAGGTGAGTTCCTGGGGGCATCCCCTCTCTCCTCACCACACACACGCCTCCTGAGCTCTGGGCCTGCTTTGTGGAAGGGACAGTGAAGGGGTCGTGAAGGGGACATGGGAGGAGCTGATGATATACAATAGATGCTCAATAAATGCCTGTGGAGAAAAGGAACAGGAGGAGAGAGGGATGAGCATAAGCGAGTAGTTGAGTGGATTGGCTCACAAAAGGAAGGGGAGACGGGCTGCTGGTGGATGAGCTATTGAATGATGAAGAAAGGAAGGGGGGATGCAGGAGCTAATGACTGGGAAAATGAACATGGATTCCCAGTGGCTCTGGTGTTACAGCTAAGGAGGGACCAAGAACTTTAACCATCCACGTACCCATTTGACAAGTGAGACTACAGCAAGGGCTGGGAGAAAGGAGAAAGGAAACTGATGGGCCTGTGGGGGCTGGTGGCCTCTGGTCTCCCCTTAGCCTGCCCAGTCCCCTCAGCCCCCTCTTTCCAGGAAAGAGGGGTTCCAGGAAGGACACCTTTCTCCGCCTCCTTGCCCCTCGAGGCCCAGTTTCCGCCAGGCTGAGGGGCGGCAGGGAGGCGGTGGCCCCTGCAAGGGCTATTTCAGTCAGAGACAGCCCTGCCAGGAAACAGAGGAAGCTGTCCACCCACTGGAGGTGATACAGCCCGACTGAGGTCTGCGTGTGGAGAGCCCCACGTCTGGCTTCCCTGGGCCCCAGTACGCTTGGGACCACCAACCTACCACAGGGACAGGAGGCTGCATGTGAGTGTCACTGCGTTTTGGGGCCGTGGGCTGGTGGGGGGTGGGATGGAGGGTAGCTGGAGACAAGGAGCTATAACTTCAGGCCAGCAAGCTGGGTCCAGCACTGACCTAAAAGAGGCCCACAGGATTCCACCCAGCTGGGGGATCAAAAAAGGAAGAAGCAGGATTGGGCCTGGAGCTTGGTGAACACTGAGGATCCTGACAAATGGAGATGGACTGAATGGCACCTGTGCGAAGGGAACGGCAAAGATGGGCAGGCCGGAGAGGGCGTCTGGCTCTGTGACTGGCAGTGGCTGTGTGGCTGTCTCTATGTCTTGGGAACAGTGTGATTGGGGAGGAAGGGTATTTCCCTGAGGGCAGAGGATGCTGGGAAGGATATGGTCAGAGCCAACTCTTTGAAAGCCCACACCATGGGCAGCTAGTGGGGCAGGGGTCAGAGCTGGTCCGGGACTTGGGGCCTAAGAGTGGACCACAGACATGAAGACCAAGTCCAGCTGCTACCTAGAGGTGGGGGCCAAGCAAGCCTTCCCTCAGGCAGCCCCTGCCAGGAACAGGGAGGACAGCTCAGCCCTCCCAACCCCTCAGAAGATAGAGTGAAGCTCTGATAGGGAGCCAGAGCCAGGCCTCTTTCCTGGGCCAGAAAGATTTGCCCAAAGAGCAGGACAGTTCCCTGGGCCCTCTCTACAGCCCCTGACTCCTTCCAAGAGGGAGAGGAAGGTCCCCAGAGGACCAGGGAGCAGGAGAGGCATAAACCAACAGGAGTCTCAAGCCACCTGAGGCAGAGGGCTCTCTGTAGGGCAGGGTCTGATGGCGACAGGCCTCCCAAAGGAAGGTTAGGGACACATCTCCCTTCCACCTACACCGGTTCTCTCAGACCCTGCCTTCCCCACCTCACTCCCCACCTGGGGTATCCTTATACCCTTCTCCACCCACAGAAATCCTCCTCAGCCACCAGGGTCTTGCTCCAAACTTCAGCTCTGAGAAGTCCTTTCCACCCTGTGGCTTCCACTGGTCTTCCTCAGACTGGCACATCTGTAGCTATATAGACTGGAGCTCTGCGCCTGTCTATGTCTATATACTATGCCACCCCCACGCATTCAGCAGGCAGTGAGTAAAGGCCCAGCAGGTGGAAATGGGAGAATGAATGCATGCACCAAAGAACGGCCTGGATGAATGAACATAGAGATGAAAAACGAACCTCCTCTTGCCCATAATCGTCTTGGGTTCCTGGCCACTCTGCGGGCGGGTGGACTCTGTGCTGCTTCCTCTGTCCCTGCCCCACACACCCACATTCTCTCAGCTGGACACAGAGCAGTCCAAGCATACGGGCTGAAGACCCACCAAAAGTCTTTGGTAGCCAAAGGTGATATGGGGGATGGAGTGCAGACCAGAGAATCTAAACATCATTTTGTTCAGGATTTGGGTAAAATAGCTGAGCACAGTGACATATGCCTGTAATCCCAGGGACTTGGGAGGCTGAAGCCAGACAGTCACAAGTTTGAGGTCAGCCTGGGCAAGTTAGCAAGACCCTGTCTTAAAATAAAATAAAAAGAGCGGGCTGGGATTGTGGCTCAGAGGTAGAGCACTCACCTAGCACGTTTGAGACCCTAGGTTCAATCCTCAGCACCACATAAAAATAAATAAATAAAATAAAGGTATTGTGTATAACTAAAAAAAAAGAAAACCTGTTTTTTTAATAAATAAATAAAAATAAAAAGGGCTGGGGGTGGCTGGGGTTGTGGCTCAGCAGTAGAGTGCCCGTCTAGCATGGGCAAAGCCCTGAGTTCGATCCCCAACACCACATAAAAATAAATAAGTAAGCTACAACTAAAAAATAAATATTAAAAAAAATAATCATAATAAATAAAAAGGGCTTGGGAGGTAGCTCAGAGGTAGAGTACTATTGGATTGAATCTCCAGTACCCCCCCACACACACACTCACACACACAAGAATTTGGGTAAAATAATTTCACTAAAATCAAATTTTAAAAATTTGCTCTAATATAACTTTTTAAAAATCTCATAAGCTCATTTATCAGGTATAGTCACATTAAAAACGGCTAACACAGTGCCAGGCACCGATCCTCACAACAACCTTATAAGGCAGGTACCCTATGTCCCATTTTACAGATGGGGAAACTGAGGCACAGAGGTTAAGTAATGTGCCCAAGGCCACACAGCTTATATGTGGCAGGGCTGGGATTTGAACGTAGGAATCTGAATCCATATACTCAGACTTGATTCCTTTCCTGGGCCAGAAAGATTTGCCCAAAGAGCAGGACAGTTCCCTGGATCCCCTTTGAGTACCTTTGCAGGACTTCATATTTTTTCTGGGCCTCGGTTTTTCTCATCTGTTAAACAGAGTGAGGACTGGATTATCTCAAAGGCTTTGCTTTCCAGATCCATTGGATTTAAGTTGTAAACTCTCCCTAGACATCAATGATATGGAAATGTCATTATCCAGGAGGCTCCAGAAGTCATACTCCAACAGGAAACCCCTTAAGGAATTTGGGCTGGGCTGCTAAGTTCCCCAAAACCCAGCCTGAACCAGTAAGAGGTGGGACAAGATGTAAGATGCAATGACATGGTATTTATTGAGCACCTACTGAATGTCAGGCCCATGACACATTTTACTGTTCAGGCCAGCAAAGGCAGGCGGCATGACCTGAGCTGTCCAGTGTGACAATCTGGGAGCCAACATCGGAACCCAGGCCTGCCTGCTTCTGAAGCTGCCCTTATCACTTCCACATCCCATGTCTGTGGGCCATGCCAAGCTGCTTCCTCTGAATCAGGTGGTCTGGTTCTGGCTATAGCTCTGCTTCTAACTCAGTAATTAAGTTTGAGTTGTCCCTGCTCATCATTGCCTCTGGATTTCCATCTATATAAAACTGATCCCTCACCAGTTGTCTTCAGGAAAATGGTTTTCACTACGGACACCAGGGGGCGCTGTGGCGTCCACCTTTGCTAGTCCTACCTTGGTATCCTCAAGTCAATTGGAAAGAAACCTTAGGGATGCCCTGGGTCACCTCCTTGCCCTACTTTACAGGTGAGGAGGCTGCTACCAAATCAAGAACATGGCTTTTGGAAGGTGGAATTCAGACTGAGGAAGTTGGAGCTGTCCTCAGTAAGCTCATGATGTGTGGATCATTCAAATGGGTTAACTAAAAGATACCAGGAACCTCTCTGCCCTGGACCCCAGGTCTGGCTCTAAGATACAGAGAGGCACCAAACCTGGCACTTCTCAGAAATTCCTCAGTCTGTGAGAGACAGGTAGATCCACCATAACCACAATCTCCATACCCTAGGGAGCTCAGGGGAAGCCCTAGATAGCATGACTTAGGGACTTAAAGGTGAGTGCAGCATTTCCCCCATTTCACAGATGAGGAAACTGAGACTCAGAGAAGTTAGATAACTATCCCAAGGTAAGCAGCAGAGCTGGGTTTCAAACCCATGTTCATCAACTTCTACTAACAAAGAAGGAGACACATGACCAGGGTTTTGAAGGATGAATAGAAGTTCCCTAGGAAGGCTGATGGGAAATAAATACTATAGAATAAAAGTAAATTGGATTTCTCCCAGGTTTGAGCTTCATTGTACAGTAAGTTTCCCTGAAGTGAGAGCTATGTGGGGCCTCAATGAGGTGGTAAGTATAAGAGATGACAAAGTTAGTGCTCTAATTGTCCAGATAGAGAGATGGAGGCCCAGAGAGGGCCAAGGCCTACTGGTGGTTGGTGAGCATGTCACTGACAAACTGTGTTTTGTTTCCCCAGCCTCTCCAAATGTAGGAAGCCCAGCTGGGCAGAAATGGAGTGGGACAATGGCACAATCCAGGCCCAGGGCTTGCCACCCACCACCTGCGTCTACCGCGAGGACTTCAAGCGGCTGCTGCTGCCACCTGTGTACTCAGTGGTACTAGTAGCAGGCCTGCCACTCAACCTCTGTGTCATTGCCCAGATCTGCACGTCCCGCCGGGCTCTGACTCGCACAGCTGTGTACACCTTGAACCTGGCCCTGGCTGACCTCCTGTATGCCTGCTCCCTGCCCTTGCTCATCTATAACTATGCCCAGGGTGACCACTGGCCCTTTGGAGACCTGGCTTGCCGCCTGGTACGCTTCCTCTTCTATGCCAACCTGCACGGCAGCATCCTCTTCCTCACCTGCATCAGCTTCCAGCGATACCTGGGCATCTGCCACCCCCTAGCACCTTGGCACAAGCGGGGGGGCCGCCGGGCTGCCTGGCTGGTGTGTGGAGCTGTGTGGCTGGTGGTGACAGCCCAGTGCCTACCCACTGCCATCTTTGCTGCCACAGGCATCCAGCGGAACCGCACCGTCTGCTATGACCTGAGCCCACCCGCCCTGGCAGCCCGCTACATGCCTTACGGTATGGCCCTCACGGTCATCGGTTTCCTGCTGCCCTTTGCAGCCCTGCTGGCCTGCTACTGCTGCCTGGCCCGCCGTCTGTGCCGCCAGGATGGCCCTGCAGGGCCCGTGGCCCAGGAGCGGCGTGGCAAGGCTGCCCGCATGGCTGTGGTGGTCGCGGCTGCCTTTGCCATCAGCTTCCTGCCTTTCCACATCACCAAGACGGCTTACCTGGCGGTGCGCTCTACCTCCGGCGTCTCCTGCCCTGTCCTGGAGACCTTCGCCGCTGCCTACAAAGGTACAAGGCCCTTCGCCAGTGCCAACAGCGTTCTGGATCCCATCCTCTTCTACTTCACCCTGCACAAGTTCCGCCGGCGGCCTCATGAGCTCATGCAGAAACTCACAGCCAAGTGGCAGAGGCAGGGTGGCTGAGTCTTCCTAGGCGGAACCCAGGGCCGTGCCTGTGGCCAGGACACCAGAAGTTCCACCAACCCCAAACCACACAGAGAGTTAAAATGTAACTCAACTAGTCACAGATAGCCCCTTGAAGACCCCAGATCTCTCTGTGGTCACAGAGACCAAGAGGCCTGGGCCTCCAGAAGCTTCCAGTCAGTCATAGACAGTTAAAAAAAAAAACCATGCTAAAGGTTGGGGATGTAGCTTAGTTGTAGAGCACTTGCCTGGCATGCATGAAGCCCTGAGTTCAATTCTCAGCATTGCCAAAACCAAACAAAAAGATTGTTGCCGGGGACAATGGCATACACCTGTAATCCCAACAGCTCAGGAGGTCAAGGCAGGACAGTCACAAGTTCAAAGCCAGTCTCAGCAACTTAGAGAGTCCCTAAGCAACTTAGCAAGACTGTCTCAAAATAAAAAAAAAATAATAATAATTTTAAAAAAAAGAGCTGGGGATGTGGCCCAGTGATTGAGTGCCCTTGGGTTCAATCCCTGGTGCCAAAAAAGAAAAAGGAAAACCATGTTAAGCTGCTCATAGAAATATAGTGTGACATGTACTGTAACAGAGGCTTTGTACTGTATGCTGCGCTGGAGTACATCTGTGGAGTCCCGGATGAAGGGGATGAGGGAAGATGCACAAGGAAGTGAGAGCTTCCAGGAAGTGGAATTTGAGCTGGGTTTTAAAAGATGAATGAAAGCTCTCTGGTGAAGAGGAACCAAATCCCATTTATTTAGCAAACATTTACTGAGACCTGGGTGGTTCTGAGGCTCCAGAAGAACCAGACCCAGCCCTGCCCCATACAGGCTCCCAGGTCCTGGAGGTGCAAACACAGACACAGTGATATCAAGGCTGGGATAGACAGAGGCATAACTGGAGGAGGGGTGCCCAGAAGATCTCATGACCCAGGCTAAGGTGTTAGGAAAGATCCCTCTAGGAAAGGGCCATCTGAGCCAGATGGCAAAGGTTGAGTAGGAGTTCAGCAGATGAGGTGGGGACACTTTAGTACAACCTGGGCCAGTCTCCTGCTGGGCTCTGCCCTGGGGCAACTGGGCTGAGCACTAAGGAGCAGGGCATGTGGACTCCATGTGTCCCACAGCCACTCTCCAGACAAGGACAGGAGGTGGCAAGGTGCTGCAAGCTCAGCAGGGAGAGGAATGGGGGACACTTCTTAGAAGAGAAGGCACTGGTGGAAGGCACTGTGGGCACAAAGCCTCGAAGTAGCAATCAGCTGAGTATGGCTGTAAAGCAATTAAACCTGAAAGCTTGTATACAGGACCAGCGCCCAGAAAAGGAGCTGTGGGGCCAGAGCATTACCTGCTAAGAAAAGCCCAGAGCCACCTCCCCTTCATTGCCTCTTCCAAAGTGGATCTCAAGACAAGGATATCCTCGGGGCCTGGGCACCACCATGACCCCCCAAGAGAGGGGAAACAGCACTTCAACACTGCATCATTCTAAAAGCAGAAGCCAAAAACTTGAGAAGACTTAGGGCCGCCAGGAGGCTGCGACCCGGAGGTCCTGTGCCTGGGAAGCCCTGGTCTCATGGCAGACTGTCCTTGCTGTGTTCCACACCTGTCCTCTCGGGTCCCTCATTTTGACCTGTCGGAGCCTAGAAGGCTGCCTTGCTATCCCCTGTGGAGGCGCCTCAAACACAGATCTAAGTCTCTAAGATCTCAGTACAAAGCCGAAAGGCATCTTTACTGCAGGCAACTCAAGGAGGCAGGAAAGTGAAATCAAGGGCCCAAGTCCTCATCCCCACCTCTCCCCCAGCACTTTCCCTGACCATTGCTCTGGGGCTCCTCATCCTCTGTTCTGGTTTCTCTTCCCCACCCTAAACCAACCCTCCTTCCCCTGCAGTCCTCCCAGACAAGTTTCTCTCATGTGGAACCATCTAGCCTGCCCTTGGCTGCTGGTGCAACAGACAGCTATATAAGCAAGGAGTCCTCCATTTCAGAAGGTAGAGCTGGGAGAGGAGAGGGCAGAAGAACAGGGCTGGAGAAGAACTGTGAGTGAGTTCTGGAAAAATCTTTAAGCCCTCTGTAATCTCCAAGGTTGCCGAGTAACAGGGACATCCAGAGAAGGGTTTCAGGAAATTTAACTCCTAACACTGTCAGAGGTGTATTTGTAGATGGTTGAGGAAGAGAAAAAAACAGGCCCAACCCACCTTGGGAATCTACTTACTGTCCTTACTGGAGAAGCTGGTAATTTGGACAGGAAGAACTTTGTATTCTTTTGGCCACAGTGAGAGAGATGTGTGGGGACATTAGAAGACAGGGTGTTTTCAATTCCCCATAGGATGCAATGGGTACCAAGCAGGTCAGATGTTACCCACCTTGCATCCAGCCTGTTCAATAGGGAATGTGGGCAACCACAAGCAGAAGCCTGACTGAGCCCTGTTGAGAGGGCCAGGTTACTGTCCCAGCCAGCTACAGGAGCTGTGATGTGTTGGTTACTTTTCCAGGATTGGAAGTTGTAGGCCACAGGTAAATTGCTTTCCCAGCTTCCCTTAGTGAGGCAAAGTATCATAGAGGGTACAGAGCCCCAACCAGGCCACCTGAGTATGCATCCAGATTCTACCATTTACTAGCTATGTTACTCTAGGTAAGTTACTCAATAAACCCCTTTGTGCCTCAGTTCCCCAACTGAACAATTGGGATAATAATACCTGACTTGCAAATTGTTGTGAATATTAAATTAATTAATATGTGTGAAACAGTCCCTGCAACATAATAAGCATGCAATGAATGTTACTATTATAATTATTTTGCCTTTTGGAACACAAGTTCCTGCAGAGTCTCTCTCTCTCTCTCTCTCTAGGAACAGCCACAGGAGGTTTCTAAACAGTTGGCTTTAAGTAAGGATTTGCAATACTTTCTCTAGGAGGCAGAGTCTTTTAAGGAAAAAAAGCTCTTCACACTTTTTCCAGAATAAGGACTATAATTCGCAAACCCCATCTGTTCTGATAAGAAAGAAAAACCATTTGTTGCATGCCAGTACCAAGGACTCCAGATGCTGTGTGGGGGCTTGAGTGCCCCTTTCCCTCTCTCTCCCTTTGTCTCCTTTCTCTTTCCCACCCTTTCTTTCCTCCTTACTTTAACGCAGAGCACATCAATGTTGGGGTGGGAGCTGGGGCTGACCCTGGGGATGCTCCGCTCCCTGGGATGGGAGACAGAGGGGACACAGAGGGAGTAAGGAGGTAGTGTGGTGAGGCACCTGGATGTGGTTCAGAAAGGCCTAAAATGTGGGTTTAGAAAGGTCCAAGGTGACTCTCCTTTGAGTTGGAGATCTCCTGGGGGATGGGGCAGGGCCATTAGGCTTTGTAATGAAACCTGGTGGGAGGAGAGGGGTTAAGGGTATCCCTGGTGCAAGAGAGAGTATAGGCAAAGGCCTGCAAGCTGTTGGAGGAGGGATAGGTGGTATAGTGACCCACGTTGAAGCTGAGAGTGAGGGCTTTGGTGCCAGTCCAGAAAAGTCCTTCATTGATATCAAGGCCTATTTACTGGGCCCTGTGGGTCCCGGGCACCAAGCAATGTGCTTTACACACATTTTCTCATTTACCCATTATAATACCTCCTGTGACAGATGGGGAAACTGAGGTCACAGTGTTGGAACTAACTTGTCAAGGGTCAAGGTCACACAGCCTTTTTATAAAATACTGGGTTCCCCCTCTTCATCCTCTTTCCCCTCCCTTTCTTCACCTGCTATTCAGGTACACCTCCCCTGCACAGTCCCAGTAACTGGGGTCCCCAAGAAGGTGTAACAGAGGCAGCTGGAGGCCAACCACAATATCACTTCTCCCCTTTAGCTAGGCACATGGCCTCCTAGGATGAAAACTTTACTCCCCAGACTCTTGCAGCTAGGCATACCAGTGGCTTACTCCTAGCAACCGGATTTCAACAAAGCGCCCAAAGAAAGTTTCATATGAGGAAGGAGGAGTATTTTTAGAGACCGGTGGAGTCTTTGCCCTCACCCCTGCCCCTTCTTATTGTTTACAAGGTAGAGAGGACAATTGGGGTACCATCTTGGACAGTGAGGGCAAGGGCCCCTTCTGTGGCTGGTAGAGTAAGAAGCTGGGAGCAGCTTGGGTCTCCAACCATTCTAATCTGAACTTTTACATGAGAAATAAATACTTAAAAAAAAAATAGTTTTTTAGGCATTTGTCGCCCACAGTCAAAACTAATTCCCTTAGATTCCATCCTGAGCTGGTGGACCTAGGTGGAAGCCTGGCTGGGACTGGGGTGTGGGTCAGGGTCTAGGATCAGGGTCAGGGTCTGGGCAGAGGGCAAGGCCTCACCCTAGTGGGAGCTAGGAGCCAACTCTCTGAAGACACCCAGGAAAACAATTCCTGAAAATGTGCAAATCCTGGGAAGGGGACAGCCCCAGTGTGACTTGAGGCCAAGGGTGTGCATAGGCTTCCTGGGGGAGAGTGAGAACAGAGGGCCCCTGTTTAGAGTCCTGGAAACTCCAACAGTAGCAGGCTGTGGAAGAGGAAGCCAAGGAGGTGGAAGGCAGGGGCCTGGAGGTCTCTAAACTGTGGTGGCATGATGGAGCAGTGGAGTTTGTGAGGGAGTGTATCACAGCTTGGAAATGAGGTGTCCCCTCCCAAGAGGTCCTGCGTTAATGTAGCCATATTCAGATGTAAAATGATAGGAATATGAGAGCTGTAATACAATCAGTCTGTTCCAGTTGGAATGGACTGACTATAGGCAGATGGGGCTTGGCTAGAGGAGGTGGGTCATTGGGTACATTCCCCGGAAAGGCCCATCTTCCCGGTGGCCCCTTCTCCCTCCTCTCTTTGCTTCCTGCACTAGGAGGTAAGCAGCACTCTTCTGCCAAGCCCTTCCACCATGTTTTTCTGCCTCATCTTGGGCCTGGAGCAATGGAATTGGCCATCTATGGACCACTGGCCATCATTTCTCTGGAATCATAATCCCCAAATAAACTTGTCCTCCTCTAAGTTTTTCTGATCACAGTGATGCAAAGCTGCCTAACACAGATGGGCTGGAAGGGGGAAGTGGAGGTGGGGAGTGAAGGTGCCGCCCCTGACCAGTGGGGTTGGGGGCGGACTGAACTAAAGTCACTTGTGTGAATTTACAGTGTCCCTGTAACCCGGCCTCAGGCTCCCCAAGAAGAGGGGCAAGAGAAGGTCACAAGAGGCTAATGAGAGAGAGAGAGAGAGAGAGAGAGAGAGAGAGAGAGGACAAACACGTTCTTCAGAAGTGGGCTTTTATTTGGGGGGACACTATTTCTTAGAACATTCTATAAAAAAAAAAAAGTCAGAATGGGTAGGATTACAAAGGAACAGGTGAGTGTAACTCAACCCCAGCGGTGACACCTACACCTGGAGCCACACCTTGTTATTCCAGCTGGGGTAACGCCCTTGTTACTGCTGAATGCAATAATTGTTCAGGACCCTGGGGCATCAGGATTTAAAGGCGTGTTCATCCAGGGCAGCTCCCCACAAGAAAGAAGACAGGAAGGACCTGAGAACTAGCTTCCAGGGCAAAGACCTTAGAGTGTCGGCTCTCAGCACTTGATGACAGGGAGCCAGGGGAGTGGGAGTCAAGGACTGGGGAGCTAGAGAATCAGAAATTAAGGCCCATCTCAGGGAGATTCCCATTCCAAACAGGAAAAACCCCAGGACACTGGATCTGTCCTAGCAATGGATGCTGTTGCCACCTTCCTTCCTCATTTGTTTGTCTAGAAGACACTATGTATCTCTGAGATGAACTCAGATCCAGACCCTTCCTTAGGAAAGAATCTGGGGGCTTAGCGGTGCAAACAAAGAAACAGTTCATCCAATAAACGTTTATTGAACAACTACTGTATGCCAAGCATCATAGTGGGCAGTGGGTCTGATGGTGGAGATAGGCAATAATGAATAAACACATATATCTAGATCATTACAGCTGGGGAGGACAGCTTAGAATATAAAGAGGGTCAGTCAACAAGGAAGGTCTCACTAGGGAGGTGACAAGGTCATGGAATGGTGGGTGGCCCAAAGATACTGGGAGCTGGGGGTGGGGTGACCTTATTTGAAGGGTACAAAAGGTTCCTTAACTGAGGCAATATGGTCTCAGAAGGACTGGGCTTAGTGCAGAGGGGTGTTTGGACTCTGGGAGTCCAAACAAGTTCCTTAATTTCTCTAAACTTTTCCTTATCTGTAATTCAGTGACAATACTACCAGCCTTCCCCTAGCTGCCAGGGTACTGAGGATGGAAAAGCTGGAGCAGAAATTTCATAAATTACCAAAAATTACTAGAAGAATGGGCAAGAAACACAAAAAGGCACTTCAAATTAAATAAATAAACAACAAAAAACACAGATGATCCAAAAACAGAGAAGAGATTTTCAATCCCAGCTTGATATGCTTATAAAGTGGGCCCACCATTTCCTTTCATGTGCCCTGGAGTCTGCACCACACCCAGCAAATACCCAGGTGTCCATCAGCAAGACAGGGAACCCTGACACAGCTATGCTCACACATTGGAATACTGTGTACAGCCAGAATGAACCACACAAATGTGCAATGATATGGATGCATCTTAGCAGTATAATATTAAGGGGGAAAAGTCTCCCATATTATATACAGCAACATGCCCCTTTTATAATAAAAAAGTTAAAACAACTAAAGTGAAAATATATCATTTGAGAGAATATGCAAATACAATAAAATCACACAAAAAGGAAAGCAAAAGAATGCTGGGAGAAGATTTGAGATGAGGGTTACCCTAGGCAGTGGGGCAGCTGGGGGCTTATAGAATGACATGTAGGTTATTGGAAAGATGCTAGTTGTTTTTGTTTGGTGAGTGCCAATTAAATAATTGAGCTGGGCACAGTGGTGCATGCCTGTAATCCCAGAAACTTGGGAGGCTAAAGCAGGAGGATCTCAAATTTAAAGCCAGCCTCAGCAAAAGCAAGGAGTGAAGCAACTCAGTGAGACCCTGTCTCTAAATAAAAAATAAAAAATAGGGCTGGGATGTGGCTCAGTGGTTGAGTGCCCCTGAGTTCAATCCAGGTACTCAAAAATATAAAAAAAAATTTAAAAGAATACATCATGAACAAAAAGATTATAAATAATCCAATCCTGTGCACTTGAGGTCTAATTAATTATTCAGGAAGATATTATTATTATTATTATTATTATTATTATTATTATTATTATTATTATTTTGGTACTGGGATTTAACCCAGGGGTACTTAACCACTGAGCCATATCCCCAGCCCTTTTTTGAATTTTCTTTAGAGACAGGGTCTCACTGAGTTGCTTAGGGCCTCGCTAAGTTGCTGAGGCTGGCTTTGAACTTGTGATCCTCCTACCTCAGCCTCCCTAGCCACTAGGATTACAAGTGTGCACCATCAGGCCCAGCAGGGGAATTTCAGATGGTTTCTATTTGGATTTGGAATGCAGTCAGGAGCCAGACTCCCCATTAAGCAGCTTCTTCCTGGAGTTTATTTCTCACGGGGGACTCCTTACTCGTCTTAAGACCCATACTCACCCTTTACCCTCTTTTTCTTACTTTTAGGTGGACACAATATCTTTATTTTATTTTTATGTGGTGCTTAGGATTGAACCCAGTGCCTCATGCATGCTAGGCTAGCACTCTATCACTGAGCCAAACATCAGCCCCCTTTACCCTCTTAAGTACCCAAAGCCCGTCATGGACTGTGATTGGTGACTATCTAAACCTTCCCATCTTCATTTCTCCAAAGGCTTCTAGAACTCTGACCTCACTGGGTCACCATGACTAACTGGGTAGATGGTTTATTTGCATTCCCCCCTTCATAGATGAGCCTGAGGACAGAAGGAAGGGGGCACTTCTAGGGTAGGCCTGGCTTCATATTCTAGCAGTGTTCCTGGCTCCACCCTGGGGCCCAGTGCACCCATTTCCTCCCAGATGAGCCTTTTCAGGGCTAAAAGCATTCATGCCTTCTGTTTCTGGAAGATGACAGTCTCATCCTAGATCCCGAGAGACTGGGGTGGGAGAACTCCTGAGGCAATGCAAGCAGGCAAGCCACTCTCTGAGTGGGTAACTTCCCTTTGGGCAACGGCCCACGAGCAACCCTTAAACTACACTCCCTACCACCAACAAAGCCCAGCCCAGCAAGCTCACCTTAGAGCCAAATCAAAAGGCTACCACAAGACTCTAGAATCTGGTGAGTCTCCATCAATTTATCCAATTGTGATATGGGATAAGGACCACTAGACTCTCTGTCCAGAACTGACAAGAAGGCAGAATTTAACAGGCTATCAAGGAGCTTAGAAAAGTACAAATTTCAGATGGTAGGAGCCATCATCACGAGAGAACACAATAACTCTTGGGATAAGAGTCTAAACACACCCCAAAACTTGCCCCAAAAGAGCAGAAAGAAAAGACTTTAAAGGAAAATGACTCTGACTTCAAATGTCAGAGTCAGAGAGGGCACATTTGGGGAAACCTGGCAACTAAAACCCAGTGAAGCCCAGAGATTTACCCAAAATCACATAGCCAGGCAGGGCAGAGAGGCATTAGGCAGGGCAGGCTCTTTTCCTTGCTCACCAATTTTCAGGTGAAGAAAGTGTGTTTACTGCTCAGTCCCTTTGAAGCTGAGCTGAGACAAAGTTGAATGAGGGACTCACTGGAGGTTTGTTTCAACTCAGGAAGGAAAGACTTTCTCCCTACAGGGATTTCCCACAAATCAAGGGGCTTCCCAGAGGGTAGGGAATGAGTTCCCATTTTGAGGACTATGTGAGCAGCAAGCAAGACCTTCCATAATCACTGAGTGTCCACCGTCCTGCCCTATACCCACATCCTGTCCCTCTCCTCTTGAGTGGAGCCTCCCAGCCTAGTCCTGCCCCATTAAGGTCTCTTTGATAGGCACTCTGGTGACTGAGTAAGACAGATTGCTGACTTACCACATCTTTCACTGACACCCAGCTACTGCATGGATGTAGGAAGGCCAGGGTAGGTTTGACCAGCCTATAGAGGGCTGGGGAAGGGTTGAAGGAGTATGGAGCAGTTCAGGCTGTCCTTTGTTACCAGGGAAGGTGAGCTCCAGCCCAATAAGGAAGAGAAGAAGGCTGCTGGGGGGCTCAAATGAAAGAGAACTACTTTATCAGGATCTGGGGTGAGGTTAGACTGTCAGTGTTTGAATACCCTAAAATCTGAATATTAATAATAATAATAATAATAATAATAATAATAATATTTCAGTTCTGGGAATTGAACCAAAAGGTGCTCTACCACTGAGCTACATTCCCAGTCCTTTTTATTTTTGAGACAGGGTCTGGCTAAGTTGCCTGTCTGGCCTCAAATTTGTGATCTTCTTGCTTCAGCATCCCCAGTTGTTGGTATTACAGGCATGCACCACCACCATGCCTGCCTAAAATCTGAATTTGAGTCAGCAGGAGCTGCCATTTTTTCCTGAATTTTTTCCTGACACTGGTCAAAGTCACTTCTCCAAAAATATCTATCTCCAAGGGTAGCTTGAGGATTAAATCAAATGAATGAAACAATATTACCCTACATCATAGGTGTTCTGCAAATTTTCGTTTATTCAGATGGAGTCCTGTGCTTAAATTGGGCCAGCGAGGATGAAAGGGACCTAACAGCCAGGAGAGAGTGGGGAAGCAGGTGGCTCCAGAATACGCGAAAAAGACTCGCCAGACGGGCAAAGGAGCAAAGTAGATTAGTGTGAAACAGGAGAAACAACCTATACGTTTCTTGCCAGGATGGAGCAGTCGCTGGAAGAAATTTAAATTTGGCAGTGGGCAATCAAGAGCATTCCTGTCGGAGCCCTTTTTGAGGGTGAGGCCGAAGAAGGGACAGGGAGCCTTGCGAAGGTTTGTAAAAACTAAGCGGACTTGGAAACACTAAAAGGAAGTGAAGGGGCTGGGGATGTGGCTCAAGCGGTAGCGCGCTCGCCTGGCATGTGTGCGGCCCGGGTTCGATCCTCAGCACCACATACAAACAAGGATGTTGTGTCTGTCAAAAAAAATAAATATTAAAATATTTAAAAAAAAAAATAAAAGGAAGTGAAGTCTTCCCAGTTCTCCGATGGCTGGGGGTAGAAGTGGCTTATCTGTCCAGGGCTCAGAGGCCTGGGAGGATCAGGCCGGTAGAGGGCGCAAGAGCCACGTACCCTGGAGTTCAAGAGAAGAGGGGGAGAAGCGCAGGGCGGAGCATCGAGAAGAGAAGCCTCCGGGAGGACCCCGGGAGGTGGGAGGCAAGGCAGCTGGAAAAGTTGGGTGAGGTATGACCCCCCAGGGGTGGGGCTTCTGGGATAGGTAGCAAGTTCTGAGGGACCATCAGAATTGGACAGGCCACAGGGAGGTAGTACTGGTGGAGCGTTTGAAAGTGTGAGGGGTGGGACGTAGGCGTGGTGTTGCAGGATTCGCCGCAGAGGGTGGGACAAGGGGCGTGACCTGGGCGGAGTGAAGGGCGGAGCGGGAGCAAAGAACGCGGGCCGGCTTGCCCCGCCCCCGTCCCCCCCCACCGCGCGCGCCAGATCCCACCCCTTTCTCGTACTGGAGAGTTTCTCCGTGTACCTGCGTATCGGTGTGTACTAGAGTTTGTGGGTACGAGGTTGCCATGTTGGAGCCCCTCGGGCAGAAACAGAAGGTGTTCTTCCCGCGCAAAATCTGCTGAACTGCGGTGGGTGCTCTACTGCGGCTGTGTGTCTGCGAAGCTGACCACGTTCAGAGCTCGCGTTTGTCTGAGCGTGTGCCTGGGGAGTAGTTCGGCCCGCTGCGCTCCCGAGGGACTTCTCTGGAGGGTCTCGCCGGCCTTCCGGTGTTCAAGCATCTCGTTTCTCCTTCAGCTCCTCCCCGATTCCCTACCCCCTCCGGGCTCCCAGCCTCGCGCGCGCCCGGAGCCCACCCCCTCTTTTGGGCGCGAGGCCCCGCCCCCCGCCCCCTTTCCTCTGCCACAAAGTTTATTTGCAACAAAAGGGAGCCAGGAGAGAGCAGTCTAGAGGGAGGGAGCGGGAGCTGGAGAGGGAGCGCGAGGGGAGGCAAGCCGTCCGCAGAGCTGAGGAACCGAGTGTTGGGATCCCTTCCCGGCGGAGCCACGATGTCCCCGGACGCTCCGGCCGAGGCGAGGGACCAGCCGGGAATTCGTCGCTGAAGCGGGAGCGGCCGCCTGGGATGGAGCCGCTGCCTCCTGCGACTGCAGAAACTTGATCCGCGACAGATAAACCACTGCTCAGATTTCTGCGCCCTCCCAAATCCCTCGCGTGGCGGGTGCAGGACCCAGGCCTTCGACTCCCGCCACTGCGCTTCTTTGGAGCGGGGGCAGAGGGGGGGTTGGCCGCGGCTTTCCGAGGCCAGCCCCCCCGGAGTGAGTGCTGCCGCCATGGCGGACGGGTCGCCCCGGCCCCCGCTTTACCGCAGTGTCTCGTTCAAACTGCTGGAGCGCTGGAGCGGCGGACCCGGACCAAGGGAGGAGGACACGGACACCCCTGGTTTGCGGCGCCGCGCCTCGTGCCGGCCGGCCACGGCCATCCCGGGCCAGCCCTCCCGGCGCGTGTCCAAGCTGGCGTCGGGGCCCCCGGCCGCCCCCGCGCAGCCGCGCCCGCTCCGCAGCCTCTCGCCATCCGTGCGCCAGCTCTCCCGGCGCTTCGACGCGCCGCATCTGGACGACGATTCTGCTGGGGTTCGAGACGGGGGCGTCTCTCCCGGGGCTGCGGAAGAAGCGGCCGAAGGCGCTGCCCGGGGGGCCTGGCCCAGCGTCACCGAGATGCGCAAGCTCTTCGGCGGCCCTGGCTCCAGGCGGCCGGGTGCGGACTCTGAGGCCTCGGTTACGCCCAACCCCGACGGTGCTGCGTGGGAGCCCCCAGCTCGGGAGCCCCGGCAGCCACCGACGCCACCTCCTCGAACGTGCTTCCCCCTGGCGGGCCTGCGATCGGCGCGGCCACTGCCGGGGCCGGGGATTGAGGGGAGGCGGCGGCGACAGCAGCAACAGCTACAGGAGCGGGCTCAGCGTCCGGCGGATGGTTTACATTCTTGGCATAGCTTCTCTCAACCGCAGGCCGGGGCCCGGGCCTCCTGCTCCTCCTCCTCCTCCATCGCCTCCTCCTATCCTGTCAGCCGCAGCCGGGCTGCCAGCTCCAGCGAGGAGGAAGAGGAGGGCCAGCCGCCGCAGCCTGGGGCTCAGAGTCCGGCCTACCATGGCGGACACTTCTCCGGCAGTGACGAGGACCAAGACGGTGAGGGCGGCCACCGCCGTAGAGGGAGACCGGGGCTCAGGCCTTCAAACTCCCTGTTGGATCAAGACGTCCGGCCCGACAGTGATGGGTTAAATCTGGGCAACATGGACTCAGGGGGAGTCAGGAGTCCTGAACCTCCTACATCGCCAAGAGTCCCTAGTGAAGAGGCATCCCGGGAGTGGGATATTAGCTCACAGTCTTGCGTCTCAGGTGCCCAGGAAGGCTTGCGGCCTATGTCGGACACTGTGGGAGGAGCTTTTCGTGTGGCCAAGGTGAGCTTTCCAGCGTACCTGGCCAGCCCCGCGGGCTCCCGCGGTAGTAGCCGCTATTCTAGCACAGAGACTCTCAAGGACGATGACTTGTGGTCTGGCCGGAGTTCTGGAAACTGGGGCGTGTACCGCTCCCCTAGCTTTGGAGCCGGGGAAGGGCTCCTGCGGCCCCAAGTTCGAACTCGTAGCAAGGGGCCTGTGGGCACCACCAGAATGTTGAGGGATGGAGGATTGGAGTTGGATAAGAGCCGGCAGAGGAAGTCCCTGTCCAATCCAGATATTGCCTCAGAGACTCTGACACTGCTCAGCTTCCTGCGCTCAGACCTTTCAGAGCTAAGGGTCCGAAAGCCCAGTGTTGGCCCTGGGAACAACCTCCTAGATGGTAGAGACTCACCATCAGCAGGTGGCCCAGTGGAGCAACTTGAGCCCACGCCCTCCCATACTCCAGCATCACCTGGCACCCGCCCCACACTCAAGGACTTGACTGCCACCCTTCGGAGGGCTAAGTCCTTCACCTGCTCTGAGAAGCCTATGGCCCGCCGCCTGACCCGTACCAGTGCCCTGAAACCCAGCTCCTCTGAGCTCCTGTTGGCAGGCTCTGGTGCTGAGGAGGACCCATTGCCACTTGTGGTCCAGGATCAGTATGTGCAGGAGGCCCGTCAAGTTTTTGAGAAGATCCAGCGTATGGGTGCCCAGCAGGATGATGGAAGTGATGTTCCCCACAGAAGCCCTGACTGGGCAGGGAATCTGACCCAAGGGCAGCGGTCCCAGGAGGAGCTGTCTGGCCCAGAGTCCAACCTGACAGATGAGGGCATTGGGACAGATCCCGAGCCTCCTGGGGCAGCGTTTTGCAGCCTGGGTACTACTGGAGTGTGGAGACCTCTTTCTTCATCCTCAACCCAAACAAACCACTATGACCCTGGGACTGAAGACAATCTGGGTGGGTGGGCCCTGGTGTCCACTGACACCCCTCCCACACCAGGTGCCCTCCGCAGGAGACGCAAAGTCCCACCTTCAGGCCCTGGTGGGACTGAACTGAGCAATGGGGAGGCAAGTGAGGCCTACAGGTCCCTGAGTGACCCAATTCCACAGCGCCATCGGACTGCCACCTCTGAAGACCCCTCTGGGTTCTCTGTGGACAGCAATCTCCTGGGCTCACTAAGCTCTAAGACAGGGCTTCCAGTGACCCCAGCTGTGGATGAGGGCTTGACCAGTGGCCACAGTGACTGGTCAGTGGTCAGTGAAGAGAGCAAGGGTTATCAGGAGGTCATTCAGAGCATTGTTCAGGGGCCTGGTGCTTTGGGACGTGTGGGGGAAGAGAGGGTTGCTGGCAAAGCCCCCAAGAAGAAATCTCTGAGTGACCCTAGCCGTCGTGGGGAGCTGGCTGGGCCTGGATTTGAGGGCCCTGGAGGGGAACCCATCCGAGAAGTTGAGCCTACATTGCCTCCATCCAGCAGTGAGCCTATTCTTGCAGAGCAGCGGGCAGAGCCAGAAGACCCTGGTCCTGCCAGGGGCCGGGCACAGTCTGAGCGGGCACTACCAGAGGCCCCGCCTGCCTCCTCCACTGCCCACCACAGCTTCTACCTTGACCCCAAGCTGACTGATGTTCTATCCCCTCGGCTTAGCCGCCGAGGCTCCAAGAAGCGCCCAGCCCGGAGCAGTCACCAGGAGCTTCGGAGAGAGGAAGGAAATCAGGACCAGATTGATAGCCTAACTCAGGCTCGGCCTTCCTCCAAACATGTTCGCCATGCCAGCGTGCCCGCCACCTTCACACCTATTGTGGTGCCTAAGCCTCTGACTTCTGTTGGCCCCCCTGTAGCTGTTCTGGAGCCTGTGGCCTTCCCTGCCGGAGCCCACCCCACATTGCAGGCTCCATCCCTTGAAGATGTCACCAAGCAGTATATGCTGACCCTCCACTCTGGTGAGGGCCCGGCTCCAGCTCCTGTGGACCTGCCCTTGACTCCCATTGCACCGCCCTCTGTGGAGGCCAAGCCCTCTGAGGTGGTTCGAGCTCCAGATGAGCCTGCCCCAGCCAGCAAGTTCTGCGGCAAGCCACAGGTGGTAAGTCCTTTATGGGGGCCTTTGAGTGGGGCCCCGTGGGCACTAACCTGTCAGGAGCCTTTTGCATATACTTACTGGACAGATGCCCAAGTCCAAGGGCGCTTAACTGGACCTGGAAGTGCCCTGGCAGTATTAAGAGTGTTAGTAACAGAGGCTCCTGTCTGCTCAGACCCTAAGGAGGCCTCAGCTTCTGCTGGCGCTAATGCTGAAGGTTCTCTGCTGCTCCAAGGTGTGCTAGTGATGACAAAAGGTTCTTATCAAGTCCTTTGCATGTGTCTCTGGGACTGGCTTTCAAGACTCCCATGTGGGTCTTTGTTGTGAATGCACCAAGTGTGTGAGGGTGGCAACATCCTGCACACATCAGTTCTGTCTCTGAGGTTTGTTGCTCAGCTGTTGGCAGCAAGGCTTCCCCTTGGATGTTTGGGCTCAGGGGTCCACAGTTAGCATGTGTTTTCCTTTCCTTTTGTGGCTTTCCTGTGATGGGTCAGAATGTCTGTTCCTGAGCCTGGGAGAATTGGGAAGTTAAGGCCTTACTCTGTGGAGTAGTGGAAGGGACTCAGGGTTCTAGCCCCAGCTCATTCCTAGTTGTGTGACATTGGCCTTTCTTAGGTCTTAACCTCCCCATCTGTAAAATTGGGTCAGGAGGGATGTGGACAAGATGGTGCCTGTGTTTTCATCTAGTTAGTACTGTGCAGATTGGAGGAAGTCTGTGGGTTTGAGTTGGAGCATTCTCGGGGCCTGAGTTCTGCCAGAGCCTCCCTCTTCAATTAGAGGAGCTTCCAGATGGAGGCTGCTGGGGAAGGGTGGAGGCAGGGAGGCTAGGCAGCAAGGGCCTTTAGAGAGGTCTGGATTAGTCCTGGCCCCCAGAGGCAGGGCTGCCTCCATGGGTCAGTTTGGGGCCCTGGTCTCCCATCCTGACTGCTTGCTTCTGTTCTCCACCATATCCCTTTTCTGGTGATTTTGAGATATGACCCCACCCCAGGACCCAGGCCTAGGGGTCTCACTCTCCTTGAGGCCCCCACTTCTACCTTCTGGCTTTAGCCATCTCTGGGGGTGGGGCTGTGGGTTCAGATTGGTTCACAGTTGCACATGTCCTGGCATCTAGACTGGAGGCTAGAGTCAAGGCACTTGGTTTCTGGACTAAGCTCAGGGGTGGTCAGGGGTTATGTCAATCGCTGCCCTTGCTCTCACTGTGTTCCTGACTGTGAGAAGCCTGGAAACCCTAAACCCTAGACTAATTTGGTCACTCCCATTCCCAGCGCTCTCACGGCCCCTCTGAACTCCAGTTCCCTTTGTTTCTCTCTCCTCAGCTCCATTTCCCCCTGGTCCTGGCTCTG